CGACTATGGCGAGCTCGGCGCCAAAAATAATTGCCAGACCTCTGCGATTGCAAGGCAGAAGGCGAAACGAGGGCGTTTCTTCCTCTTCATCTTCGTGTGTACGTTTCGCAGCTGCGTTGCTTTCCCGTGCACCATCTTCTTGTTTTTATTGTCTGGTTGTCGCGTACGAGTGCGTATGGAGCGGCGCAACAATAAGCTCGAGGGAAAGGTGAGACCGTAAAGATTATTTTCTTCGCTTCGATATGGGTAAACCGTTTTCGAATATTCGTATGTATATGTTCTTTCCCTTTTTCTTTTATCTCTTTTCTTTCTGTTCTTTTGCTAAATGCAAACGACTAGGTTTCTTCACGCTATGTATGGTTAAATGGATAACTCACGTTTACTTATCGAAATTTACATGTTTCTGATCTGATATTATCGACTGACCTGATTGGCGTTGCAAATGAGATGCAAATATCCATATAAATTTATATGTTTTCATTTATATCTTTTCTAGCATTTTCCTCAGAGAGAATATTACGATTATTAATATTGCAAACGTGCAATTGTACGTTTGGATTAAGTAGAGTGAATCTTCTGTTCTATTTTTCTACTAACAATTACATCATTTCGTTATTCATTATATATGATCATCGGCTATATCGTTACTATCGGTTAATAAATTCTTAAATGATATTTACTTATTTCGTTCTGAACGTTTCTACTTTATCGCATTTATTGCTGAAATATCTTACATTGAAAGATTCATTGTTGAATTCTAATGTAATTGCAAGAGGATTTCTGTGTCGTAAGAGCGTTTTGCGCGTCAAAATTTCAACGAGTAAATCGGGATGACGATCATTCGCATTTACTCTGTTCGCTCTTTCTATTCGCATTTTGGCTAAGAGCCAACCTTGTGATCTGTGCTCAAATTTCTCCACGATGTCATTAACGCGGGTTCATTTTTGTCATCTTGTTTACAAACAATGATGGTTTACTGCGAATAATTAGTTTCACGAATATTTCTATAATATTTATATGATATTTCTTGAGAGGAAAAAATTTATTTATTTATCTCATCTTTGTTATTACATTTTAAGGACGTAGGATGAAACATATGGGACGTGTTTTATAAAACGCAGAGTAATTTTCTCCACTCGCTAATGACTCTTTGTTTTCATAACGTAAGCGATAAATATAGGCGGACAGCTGACTCGCATCGTCAATTCAAAAAAGTGTAACTTAATCACAGGGTTAACATCCACCGCGCCATTAACTGATTTCTTTTTAATAGTTAGCGCTCATCAAAGAATATTTCAAGTCTATAAATCACTTTATTCACACTGTCTTTTAATGCCGATCTTTTATTATTACCCTCTTTGCCGTATTATCAACCAATCGTTACTGTACGATAATAAAACATTATGAGGCATTATAAGTTTAGACTCGTTCAAAAGCCTCAATATTGTCCAATCGTCGTTTAAATCATTTAAATATCGAACGACCGGAATATAATACTTTGAGAGAACCGGATCCTAAATGTTCCATCGTAGAGAAACCGAATCGGCGAGTTACAATAGTTTTAGAAGAATTGAATTTTTATATCGCGTTTCAAGCATAGATTCAATCGAAATTCTTAATGTTTTTCATTATACGAACGATCGAAGGATAGAACAATTTCTTGAGGAGTAAGATCTTATACAGCATTCTATATAAAAAAATTGGCAAGTCCTTTAATAATTAATCATTCGAATGTCAAACGATTGAGGTCTTATAGCTGTAGTTATAGCAGCGAGTATAGCTATGTAGACCTAAAACCCTACAATCCTTTTACGATTAATTAGAAGCTCGAACTTGCCGATTGAATCGCCTCTAAACGAATAAAGATATATACATGTATGTATGTACATACATTCTTTCAATTAAAGATCTCTTAAACATTCCCCGGATTTTCCATCGTTTCAAGTTCAGACGTTCGAACTGACATATACTTCTTGCAGAACAAAAGCTTATTTAGTATTCTAAACGCAGATCTATCTTCAAGGATTAAAATATCAAAGTTTCTCAAAGATGCTCCATAGACAGTTCATAGTAAGGAAACGTCATAGTGGAATTTTCATTGTCTATAAATCTAGGCATTCAGAATATGCAAAACTTTCCAACGGTCATTCGAACATCCAAAGGTCGAACCACTTTTGAAAGAACGAAAACACGTCCGTTAAAATTCTTCGAATTTTCCATCGTTCAATGATCGATCGATGGAGCCGATCCGTATCTTCAAAATGATCTAAAGGAAGATCTATAAATCTGACTGATAGAATCTAACTGCGTATAAATAGAACAACGCGCTTTATTTTCATTCAAAGATGCTGCGACGCAGTATTACACGATGCACGATGCTCGATGGACGCAATTCGAAGCTATTACAATACAACAACGTTGTAATGGTAGTTGTAACTTTAACTGTAGCAGATCATACTATGATTGTGCTCATAATACGCAACCTCAAGAACTGTCATAAGCGTCGAAGGAGCCCTACGACCCAACGTTGCTTCTCCCTTTGCGTCGCTGTACGCGACGAAGAATCAACTAACCGATGAATTTTTTCTCGTCGTCGTCAATGTTGGTGTGAACATTAATATGGACGTTAATATCCACGATAAACGAGACAGCCGTTCCCGCGTTTATTTTCGTGGGTGGATTGAATTGACCTTGACCGATTTTTTTATCGCTCATATCGTTGTATTTGGAATGTTTCCTATGTTTTAAATGCTCTGTTGCCTTTTTAGCGACGTAAAAAGGACGCCGAGCACCCTATGAAATATATTAAGAATGAAATTTAAGTAACATTCTTCGTGACATTTTACGATAAATGCAGTGATGGAACAGTTACGTACTTTGTCATTTTAGTTACGTCCGTTTCAATTGAGAAAACTAATTTCTCTCAGTTTTTAGTAATTACTCGTTATATCATCGCTTAAATGTTAATGAGAAAGAAAATTCCCAACGATGATAAAATAATTATTAGGTCGTTCGAAAAGTTTCTTTCGTTCTATAAGGAAACCATGAATGCACAACATTTTCTGTTTTATATCATTTTATCGAATTACGAATGATCCATTTTGTCCTATCAAAATAAAGATCACAAAAGAAGACGTGTCTGTAAAAGAAAGATACTTTTCGGACAACCTAATATATTCTTACAAGCTAAGTTACATTTTCATAACTAAGCTCTTAACAGATTTATCGTGTGGATGTATAATAGAACTGCGTCGACGTGATATTATACTATCTGTTTGTAACTTTTATAACTTTGAATTTCATAATTTTTATAAATCTGAGAATAGCGCACTAATTTTTACAATAATCCACGAGAAATGCGTGTTCATTATTCTTATAGCGAAATAAGATTCTATCATGAAGTTTCATAGAATCTATACTTACGTATGTTTCATAAAAAAGGAAAGAATTTTAGCACGTTAATTATTTATTAGCATATAACATTGATAATGAAAAGACAATGGAAATTCGATCAACAGTGTTTCAAATCTTTGCACATCGGCGTATATCGTTCATCTGCAGCATGACAGCTCGTATTTCTCTGTTCTAACTCTTTTATTCGTTATTTGTATTCGTTAAGTATTTGTTATTTTTAATAAATTCTTGTTTCAAGCATAAGACTTGGAATAATTTTTCTGAAATTTTCGTCACGAACGTAAGGCGCAAGGGATCATTAACACCATCGCGTAATTTTGTTTCTCAGGTTAGTCCGAAAGGGTTTTGTCGTGTATTATGCGGAAGACAAGATTTACGAGCCGATACGTGCAAATGCGAGATGAGAAAATTTATACACGGTGCTTAAGATTCGATCCGCCGACCGCGAATTGTATTCAAATGACGATCGTGAACCCACCGTGACCTCTCGCGTGATTACGAAACTACCTTTAAATTCACCTTTTCATAAGAACGCTGCTCCTCTAGTGCATAATTAATTTCTCTCTCGATCATGCCTCGCTTCATCACACAGGGAACTCTAGATAAACGCATGGGATAGTTCGTTTCGCCTGATAACTAACATGTATCGTGTCAATTAAGAAAAGTATTAAAGAGATAAATCTATTTACACGATGGGGAATTTTCTTTTCATGAAAAATCTGCATATTTATTTAACTTCCTACAACGCGACGTATGTGACTTGAAAGTTTCATAATATACTAACTACCGGCTATAAATATCAGGATACTTAGTGGGAAATTTTTATAAATGCATTCTATCTTGTTCAATATTATACTGTTTATACTATGTCGCAGCATTTAGCATTTATGGTACAGTAGGTTTATATTATATGGCGTATGCGATGCAAACGAAATAATAAAACTTATACCAAGTTAGTAATTATTATACTCGCGGCGAATTTCCTGACAATTTTGTTATTACATAATTCGAAATCACTTGGATCGATATCAACGGCAACTTTCTTTAGTTGAATAGACGAACGTATTTTAGGATTTTCCTAACGTAACGCAGAAAATTCTAAACTGATAGCCTTTTTAAATTCTTGAATTTTATGAAACATCTGAGACCAAACTTTTGGTCGTAGTAATTCGTGCATTCTTACAATGAAAATGTATATTTTCTTCGGTTAAGTCTCCTCTTCTATTTCGGATCTCCTCGTTGGATGACGATAGATGATGAAAAGAATCGACTGATATGTAAATGTCAGAACGAAAGACAATTGTCTTTAAAATATACGCGCTTGCTTGTACAGTAAAACTCCATTTACGAAATTTTAGTTAATGCTCAATTAACTTAACTTTGGCTGGTTGAATTCATTTATTTGAGCTTCTATTATGCGAACGAAACATAATAGGTTGTGGGTAAAATTGCCGAGCTCCCATTATATAATTAGGTAAACTGTTTGTCTCTTCGACAAGTTTAGGTAAATGGAGCTCTACCGTATGATACAATTTTTGCGATAAAATTTCCTTTCTCTAAAATATTATCTTTTTCTGAATTTCCAGGCGAGCACCGAGAGTCGAGAGGCGGAAGAGCAGGGTAGCAGCACGACCTCGCCCTCGGAGGGCAGGCACGCCGACGAGACGTCCGGCTCGCCCGTCCTCGAGATGGGCAGCATGGATTCGGCGGGCAGCGCCCACAGTGGCGGCTCTTCTTGCGGCCTGGTCAGTTCCCTTTTCCCGAGCAATTGTCGTGGTCGAGCCGAGGCATTCGCCAGACGTCTTCATCGACGATTAACGTCTCTCGGTGGCGAAGACAATTCTCAACGGAACGATGATTCCTCGTTGCCGAAGGAAACATCCTGGCTACGTTCGCCGACAACAGGGAGAAAAATAATAACTAACAGCTCCAACAATCGCGTTCTTCAGAATCAACCTCGTCACAATCCTAACGCGGATTTGTGCTACGATTACGATCTCGAGTATGAGGATGGTCTTAGTTCGCCGGCAGAAGAAGCCACAGCAGCGGAAGTCGCGGATTTAGTAGTGAATCCGGAAGTATTAAAATCGAGTCATCATGGAATTCACAACAGTTCACCGATTGAATCGAAAACCAGTATAGATTCAGAATCTGGACACGTCTTCGCGTCTCCTCTGTTAGGAACGTCTCCAGATAGCGATTCCTCCGACATGTTTTTCGATCCAGAATCATCCGACGTTGAAAAACCGAAGAACGAAACGTTCTTCGATCCCGTGACAACCTCGGATAGCGAAGTGACTACATCGAATCTCTCAAACGGTTGCGACATAATAAGGCCCAAAAGCTTGCCGTGTCGTAGAAGGCCAGATATCAGCATTGAACATTCCGAGGACACATCTGAATCGAGCGCTTCGTTCAAAAGGAATAATTTTTGCGATAAAGACCCGAGGAAGAAGGACTTGGCGTGCAGCTCGGAGGACTCGAACGATAGAAGCTCCCAAGAGACATCCACGTCGCCCAGTCATGAATCTCTTTGGAGCACGTTCGACGAGAGCACTATGTCCTTTCAGGACGAACGTCCCGCAAAAATAAATCCTACTGCGGTCACACACCAGATCCGGCTTCCCAAGTCGCATTCTGATTCAGAGATACCCGTCCACGGACCTAGTATAATGATCACTTCCGCGATTAAGGATGAAAAAGTCCATACCGATGAAGTGGATTTTATTAACTTTCTGTCGGAGAACAGCAAATTGGAGAATATCAAGAACGCGAGGAATCTCGTCAAAGAAGATACTTCGGATTCGTCGGAAAATACGTACGAGGAGGATCTTCCATATGACGAGGAGAAGCCCAAGGATACACTAGAGCAACATCCGAAGGTTTTATCTTTGAAACTCGAAGAGATTCCTGGCAATGAGACTGACGACCATTCGACGTACAGCAGTATGATCAACATCCCTGGTGCTCTAACCCTCGAGTATCCTATAGTAGAGGGAGTGATAGAAGCCACGATGAAGAACGAGATAAAAATACAAATAGAAAATGGAGCTATAATAGCTAGCAGCGACGAGGATAAGATGTGCCTTCTGTTGCAGAAGCTCGCCACAAGTCCAAGTATCAAAGAGGATGTTCATATAACTGAGGAGCCACAGGACGATAGTATCGAGGAAGAGGAAGAAGAAAGACCTCAGAAGATCAGACGGTGTTCTTCTTTGAAGACAGGAAAAACGCCACCAGGGACACCTGGAAGGAAGAAAATCGTTCGATTCGCAGACGTATTAGGCCTAGATCTCGCCGACGTGCGAACGTTCTTAGACGAAATCCCCAAAGTGCCGAACTCAGCGTACAGCGACTTGATCTACGATGACATTTTCCAGAAAGACACCAGTCCTGTAAACAGCTCGCCAATTCCAGCTCAATGGGGAGCCAGATACGTAGGTAGTCGACGCGCATCAGGCTGCGGGATGTCTTCGCATAAACTGGACAGAACTTTGGTGCCTCTGTTTCAACAACCTGGCGGTCTACCTAATTTCCTGGATCTGGTCCGCGAACGTCGAGTATGCTTAGAGAACGTGCTGGTCCAGGATCCCGTGTCTTTCTGTATCCAGGGTACGGTCCGCGTAATCAATCTAGACTTTCACAAGTCGGTGCACATCAGATACACGTTGAACTCGTGGCGAAACTTCAGCGATTTGCAAGCCATCTACGTACCTAACTCGTGCGACGGTTTCAGCGACAAATTTTCGTTCGTCCTGTACTGTCACACGCTGTCAATCGGTCAGAGGCTGGAGTTCGCGGTTCGATTTCAATGCAAGGGCGAGCAGTACTGGGACAACAACGCCGGACTCAATTACTGCTTCCAGTGTTTGCCTGTTTCTCCAGCCGTTGGTTACATGCCCATCACGGCTCAGGAGGGTCAGCATCACGAGTGGTCGCCTGTGTTCTACTGATGGACATCGTAGATCGAGCATTGGATGCCGTGATGGAGACACAGTGATGCTTCGCGTAGACAAGGAGTCTGAAGTGGATCCGAGTAAGGCTAACTAGCGACAGATAGAGAGACAGAGGGAGAGGGAAAGAGAGAAAGCCTATGGTTGTATAAACGTTCCTAGAGTATATACCTTACTGTACATAACTGTCCTATTCTCGAGTCGATCGAAGGAACGAGAAGGCAAGCCGGGGAGCAGGGACCGCACTAGCGTCAATTATTCTTTCCTGCCGTTTTCCGGACAGCCTTTCAATGGACTGGAGAAACTCGACGCACCTGTTAGACTGACATTTTTTACACGTTCGTTGTTCCTTGTTTACGAGCGAGAATATGTATTCGGTATAGACGTGATACCACTTCTATAAACGAACTGGGACTGTAGTTGAGAGAAGAAATATTAAGTACACATACCTCTTTGAAGATGACAGAGAAGAGGATTTAGTCTTTGCCAGAAGTTGGAAGTTGAAGAGGACGTTTAAAAGGCGGACGAACAATGAAACGTTCAAAGTATCTGGCAGAGCATGGAGGATTATTTTCACGTTCCTAGAAAGTACCTAAGTCTACAGAATTTGCGCCATAATCGAGCCTAACGTGTTTGAAAGACTCTCAAACTGATTATAATGCGAAATGATAGAGGTTAAAGGTTATGAGAGAAACTATTACTCGAAATGAGATGTTTGTTGAAGGATGGTATTGCTTCGAAGACGAAATCAAGGGCTCTTTTTTCTCGTTTCATTTTTTTTTTTTTTTTTTTTTTTTTTTTAAGAGAAGAGGATTTAGTCTTTGCCAGAAGTTGGAAGTTGAAGAGGACGTTTAAAAGGCGGACGAACAATGAAACGTTCAAAGTATCTGGCAGAGCATGGAGGATTATTTTCACGTTCCTAGAAAGTACCTAAGTCTACAGAATTTGCGCCATAATCGAGCCTAACGTGTTTGAAAGACTCTCAAACTGATTATAATGCGAAATGATAGAGGTTAAAGGTTATGAGAGAAACTATTACTCGAAATGAGATGTTTGTTGAAGGATGGTATTGCTTCGAAGACGAAATCAAGGGCTCTTTTTTCTCGTTTCATTTTTTTTTTTTTTTTTTTTTAGATATTAACGATATTTTACGTAGTTGCATGAATATTCTCAGATGAATTAAGGTTGAAACGACCTGTTGATGAACTTTTATCCACAAACATATCTGCTCAGCAACTTCTGAGCGACGACCAATCCGGTCTTGCTTACGAAAGTTTTATTTAGCACGTTCGCTGCTATTAACGCATATTGGGCGTTCATTCAATTGTTATACATAAATCCCCAATAAGGTTGCAACGAGGAGATAACTGTTGTATTTTTGAGTTCGTGCGTCTCGATAGAAAGTTTTTAACAGGAGATACAAAACAGTGAGGAATGTAATAAAGTAAATTTGAAACGAAGATTTCCCTGATGAGAAGATAGACGGAAGGATTTTAATAGCAGCGAATGCGTTAATGAATTATCTATATAGCGTATACTCTTAGCCCCATAGATGAAACGAAATTACGACGAACCAACTTTATAAACTTCGAAACGAAGCTTTTCTATTCGTTTAATCAAAACGTTCGACCAGTGCCAATTCTGACCTAGTGCCATTGGATCAATTATAACATCGGTAAATAACACGAATCGAATATACGTTATACCATATTCATAAATATTTTTTAAACGAAATGTGATAGTTTAATAGCAACGAATATCATAGTGGGTTGCTTTGTTCTCCTAATTCTAGATTTTATTCGCCAGATGATCGTCGAAAATCAGGGAAATCGGGACTTGATCGATCAATCATTAAATACCTGTATAAATCTCCAAGACGATGATAGTAACTGATCATTCATGATTTTATTTTTATTATGCATGTATATTTGTACAGTTGCTGGAGTGCTAGACATGCAACGAAATTACGAAAGAGGAGATCTCAACAGCTTTGGCAGTAGATTTATCGTTTAGTTCATTGTTAACTAATTTCAATGGTGAACTGCTTTCATTCTGTGATTCGAGGACTTGAATCGATCATCGTGTGGTACGCAAATGTATATGCAGTGACGAATGAGAGAAAGCGTAAGTTTACTGTTTAATTAATTTCTTCGATCGTTTTCGAATAGTTTCAACAAAAAGGAAAAAAGTAATTCTTTTCAATTCGATTTTCATACTGTGCTGTACTTCGCAGCGTGAAAATGAAACATTAAATGATAAGAAAAATGTTAATAATCATTCAAAATGGAATTATATTTACGAGTATATCTAAATAGATATGAATAGATCAAATATATTTTTTCAGAAATAACTCAACTAATATTAACAATGAAATCTTATATAACAATTTGTACTAAAACAAATGAAATTTTGTAAACTACAAATCATTCGACTATCCAATTTCCAATTTTAAAATCATATAATCTATAATTTGTAACTTCCTAATTAGACAAGTATAGATGATTATTATCAATACGATCAAAAATATTTAATACAAATAACATTAGTAATTACGTACATAAGTATCAACGTTAAATTTTCTTTCGTTCATCACTGTACATCGTGCATATTATACTTTGCAGAATACACATAAAAACGATATCGCTTATATTTAATTTGCACTACAACGGAAATATTAAGATGAAACGATCAATTTCTTAATGAATTTCCTCGACAAGTTCTTTCGTTCATTTCTACGCTCCTGGCATTATGCGTGAACGATAAACGAACCATTTACGTTAGTCCTCACGTGGGATAACGATAATAGTCGTCAGTGCAATCCAAGTTATCGGTTAAAGAAAGCAGAGACATTTTCAGCGTTTTGGCAACGATTAGAATTTCGTGAGTCACAATAGCAGTGACAGCTGCCAAAAATAAGCAACATTGTCCTGTGTCGCGTGCACGAGATCGCATTGGGTAATGAGATCGACTTTGTTTATCGAATTCCAAACGATAAATGACATTTACCGACGATTCGTGACTAAACTTGGTACAGTATTGCCTGAACGACACAGACCACATTAACAATGAACCAATTGTAATTAACGACGTAAATACCCTCGTGAATTATTACGACTGAGAGAAAAGAATAATCATAGATCGCACGATAGCGATCGAGATCACAACACGATATAGTATTTCACGATACCACGATATTTTTGCTAATGTTAAACGTTTCCTTTGTAATTCTGATCACCGTTGCCATTAACATGTTTTGCACGTGTTACATAAAGATACGTCTTTCGCGTTTTGCAATTAAAAGACTTCTTCTTCGCTGTACAGTATCATTTTTCGAAACGGTAATCTTAGAACGAAGTACAAGAATTTTATATAAAAAGAAAAGACACGGTACTTATATACATATGTGTATAAAGCGGTAAGTTAAATGATAATCAGATTGTGGATTTTCACGTATTTCCTATAAATCTGTTACATGCAATTTAAAGTGAGAAAATCCGCAGAATGCACTCGATGCGCAAAAGTATATAAAACATTTAAAGTACAACACTTGTTATAATATTCAGTAGTTATTGAAACAAATATTTCCTTAGATTCCATTTTTTTTATATATATATATATTCGCAAAAATGCAAAGCACAAACATTCACAATCTAGTGATAACATAGAAAATACGTATTTTCACGTAACGCACGCAAAATGTGTCAACTATTGCAAATGTCAATAGTCTTCGAGGTAGCATCAGCAATATAACATTAACAGAGAAACGAACAAATGATGTTAAGATTACACTATATATTGTTAAGATATTTTTTGTAACAATTTTCACTGTGAACAAGTGCTTTCTATATGCTATATATATAGAGAACATAAACACAATACAAATTGTACATATGCGGCGTCAGTATTGGTGGCAAGTGTGTCTCGAGAATGAGGGTGTCGTTTTTTTTTTTTTTTTGTATAAATCGGTCGATTTTTAATCGTATACTACCATATACAGTCTGTTTGGGCAATGTTTGTTATACACATTTTATTGTACATATTCTTCGATACATTTTACATAATGATATATTTACATCACAGTTATAATCGAGTCTCTAGTTTTCGGTATTCTATTTCTTTCTGCTGTTTTCTCTTTTTTTTATATATATATATATACATATATATTATGGTGAATATCGATCTTTTCTAATTTTATATTGAACGCATGACAGATATCGTTACATTGCTATTTTACTCGCTTTGTTTTATCATATTGTTAACTTGGGGACAGAATGCTGCTTATTAATCGATCCATTCTGTAAACACTTCGTCTTATCGTTATCCTTCTACGCATTGGTAAGAGGAAAATAACAGAAAAATGTTTATTAAGTTTTGCAAGAGCGAAGAAACGCTTCTTCTTACCAGAGAAGTGAAATTACGTTTCTTTCTTAACGCGTTCGTTTCTTTTATCCGTATAGTATATATTTTAACGAGATGGTATTTTTGTTTTCTCTTTTTTAATCGTTTTAAATTTAAGCGCAACGTAACCACCATTATTGAGGCCCTCGATATTTACGCGCGTATCTCTGCCCGTAAACACACGAACAACATAAATCGAACGAAGCCTTTTTCTATACTTTGTCCTCTGTACATATGCCTCTTAAGAAACAAAGTTCGAATTCTATTCTGGTTAACGACAGAAATGATATTCTTCCACGTGTTAAGAATGACGGTTATTGAGATTTATGGAAACAGTTATATAAGTACCAGTCACGAGTTAGGATATTTTAATCATGTTATGAAAACTTCAACCTGATGTACAAGGTATTTTAGAAACCACTCTATTGTATCGAAAGGGAGGAAAATTTTCAATTTTTTTCGTTGCTATAACATTTTTATATTTTTTAGTAGTATAAAGAAATTAGACAATTCTGTATGAACATCGAAATAGATTCGTAACGTTTCTCAGTACTTTTTTCATAAATATTTTATGAAGAAATTCGATATTTTCATTTACGAAAGAAACGCACAGATTATATAGGGTGACGATAAAGGTACAGTAGAGGGATTGAAATAGAAAATGCACAGTGGTAGAACTTGAACGAAGATAAACGGCGGAGAGGAACGAAATAAGAAGGGACCCGTCTACTGCCAGACACGTTTTGTGTTCAACCCGCTAGAAGTGACGACCTTTTAATTTTTATTTTACAAATGCATCATCCCAAAAGTGATCTCTATCCAAATTATCTCGAAAGTTCATCGACATTTCATTAAACATTTACACGAATTATTAGCCACACTACGATGGTATTAAAAAAAAATAGTTGGACTTAAAGAAGTCATCGATCATCGGGAATTTTTTAGAAACAGTTGCATTATTGTTCGCGTTATCAACAATTTTAAACTAATCTCTGAAGAATACGAAAGACCATTTTAATCTTTTGTTTTCGATCTATCAAAGAATTTCTCAAGTATCTTATACATCAGGTTGGAAAAATAAAAGATTTCGGGAATGAAAGCAATTTATACTAATAATAATTGTTATATCTTATGAGACATACGTGTTTTAAATTTTACAAGGTGTAGGATGTCACCCGGTAATTTCAATCTCTATTGATACGCAAATCCTAAGTTGCACAAGGGAATTCTCATCATTGATGAGAGATTTCAAGAAATTTGAGGAAAATCAATTTCGCAGCCTCGAACAACATCGCGAGAAATGTCGAAAAACGACCGTGTGACACCCTGAATAAACCGGAGACGAACTATTTTTGTTAAATCTTTGTTCGCGTTTGCTAAGCTATTGCCTCACTCG